GGCAAAAACACCTGCAAGCAGAAAAGTTTGGCCTCTTCAGTAGATGTTCAATACATGCTTGATAAGTTGGAACTATCAAGGCCATGTCTCAGGAGCTCAGAGAGTATGATATACTGATTCTGGGAACTGGGTGTTTTAGGAATCATGCTAATCAAGTATATCAACATACCTGACTTGCAGAAGACAGTTAAGTGTCAGGTTAAGAGCTTGCGCTCTGAAATTGTAATGACTCTGCTCTGTGTCCTCCAACAAATTTCTTTTTTTTTTGAGACGGAGTGTTGCTCTGTCACCCAGGCTGGAGTACAGTGGCGCAATCTCGGCTCACTGCAAGCTCCGCCTCCCGGGTTCCCGCCATTCTCCTGCCTCAGTCTCCCTAGTAGCTGGGACTACAGGCGCCCACCACCACACCCGGCTAGTTTTTTTATTTTTAGTAGAGACGGGGTTTCACCGTGTTAGCCAGGATGGTCTCGATCTCCTGACCTCGTGATCCGCCCGCCTCGGCCTCCCAAAGTGCTGGGATTACAGGCTTGAGCCACCGTACCCGGCCCAACAAATTTCTTAAGCTCTCCAAGCCCAAGTTTCCCCACCTGTACATGACGAATAGTAAGGTGGTTTTGGAGTAAGTTAGAAATGGCCCTCAATGCTCTTAGCACAAAGTCTGTCAATACAGTAAGAGGAACAAATATGGGCCAGTTCTCAGATGATCTAAAAACTACCTGTTATGGACTGAATTATGCCCTCAGGTTCATATATTGAAGCTCTAACCCTTATTTCCTCAAAATGTGACTACATTTGGAGATAGGATTTTAAAAGGGTCATGAGGTCAAATGGGTGTGCCTTAATCTTGTATGACTGGTGTTTTTATAAGAAGAGGAGGTTGGAGCAGACACGCAGAGGGAAGGGCACCATGTAAAGACACGGAGAAAAGGACAGCCATCTGCACGCCAAGGAGAGAGACCTCAGAAGAAACTAAACTGCCGATACCTTGATTTCACATTTCTAGCCTCCAGTATTGTGAGAAGATAAATTTTGGTTGCCTAAGCCCTGCAGTCTGTGGAACTTTGCTATGGCTTCCCAGCAGACTCATGCCCCGCTCCATGCTGAGACCCTTTCTCCCTAGCCCTGTGATCCTGAGCAGGCCTGGCATTCAGATAGGCTCCATTAAGGAGAGATTCATTGAATGTAACCAACCAAATGTCCTGCTTTGGCCTTTCCTCCTAATTTTTTTATTTTTATTTATTTATTTATTTATTTTTTACACTCCCCTTGAACAACATGGCTAAGCCACAGGCTGGCTACGTCACAAGCAAGCTTTCTGCTTCACTATGCAGAAACCTCTTGTTGGCATTTTTTGGACACCAGTATCTTAATTCACTCTCCGTTTGCCTTGACTTGCTTCTCTATTTCCAGAGGACTCAAGTGGCCTGGGTTCTTGATTGTTTTCTCAATGATTTGGCCATCTCTTTGTGGGAGTCTTCTGGTTTGCTGGAAACTGGGACTTTGTGGCACCATCCATCTTCTTGGATTCTGACCCTCCACTTGGCTAACTGAGGTTTGTCACGTGACAAAGCCCTGTGTGCTCTCTGAGCTTCCATGACTCCAGCATTTTCTATGATTGAGAGCAAGTCAAATGTACACACTGTACACACCCAAAGTTAATCTTGGGTATAGTTAGCATAGCTATATTTGTGCTACTCATGAGAAAGTTAAGGCCTGGTCAGGGTCAGTGCCTGAAAAGCCACAATCAGGAATCTGGTTTCCTTCTCTACAGCAACAAGACCTTCCCATTCCTATACATCGCCCTTCACTTTGCCTTCGTGGCTCTGACCTCTATGTTTTCTATGACCTCCAGAACCCACCAGATTATTCTAATAGATTGTTCTGCATTCCCCAAACATGATTTCTTGCATTCCCCAAACATGATTTCTTGCTTTGTGCCTGTGACCCATCGTATACCCATACAGGACCCCCTATTGGCCAGCCCCAAACCAAGGAACCTCTCTGACCTATTGATACCTGTAACTCAGAGGGTGGACAAAGAAGGACAGCACAAGCTTACGAGCTCCAGGACGGAGTTAAAACAGGATCACTTTGGCCGGACACAGTGGTTCACGCCTGTAATCCCAACACTTTGGGAGGCCAAGACAGGTGGATCACAATGTCAGAGTTTGAGACCAGCCTGCGCAACATGATGAAACCCTGTCTCTACTAAATATACAAAAAATTAGCTGGGCGTGGTGGCAAGTACCTGTAATCCCAGCTACTCAGGAGGCTGAGGCAGGAGAATCGCTTGAACCCCAGAGGTGGAGGTTGCAGTGAGCCAAGATAATCCCACTGCACTCCAGCCTGGGTGACAATAGTGAAACTCCATCTCAAAACAAAATGAAACAACAACAACAACAACAAACGGGATCATTTTGCTATTTCCTGGAAAATGTGAGCTGCTCATACCTGCCTCTCCTGTGTAACAGATTACCAGGATGCACACTAACAGTCTGTAAGTGGCAGAGAGGAATTTATGTCCTGGGATCTAAGAATTCTTAGACGTCTTTGATCAACAATGGCTAAGCCATGTGTCTTGTGTAACAATAGACTTCCTCTTGGTGCAGCATGCTCAGTGCTGTGCGTGAAAGTGGCTCATAAGGGTAAGACAAGGAATTAGAACTTGGCACTTGAAATACCTCTGGAAGTATAAAAGTAGACTGGAGCCAGGAAAGTACCTCGGAGTCAGTAGGCAAGTCAGAATGGGGAATGACCTGGGCAGCTGAAAGTAGGAACATGTGTGGCCAAAGGAGGTATGCAACCTGGACATATTGTTTTATTAACTTTCTGAGAAGTCATTAGTCACTTCTTGCCTCAGTTGTCCTTTTTAAAAATAAGAATAATTTGGATCAGCCAGTCTACATTCTCTTCTGTTTCTAGAATGCTAATCTGTTTTACTTATTAAGTACCAGTATCAGAGCGCATTAGCGTCCTGCTAAGAGATACAAGCTACCAGCAGCATGAAGTTCTTGACATCCAAGACCAGCTTCTCTTCTGAGAGGGAAAATTCTCTATGGTTTCTCCAAAGGCCGGAGTAGGTCAAGTCCGGGTGCAAGGGCAGGCCTTTGAGAACACCTCTAGGAGCAGAAGGTGATGCAGGCCTAATCATTTTATAGCATTCTAGTAATTTCAGAGTTATCAGACCTCACAGCAGTGAGTCAGCAGTGCCTTTGAAATTCGGAGCTGAATTTAACTTCATCAAACCCTGAATCATGGTTCTAGGATGACTTTAAAATAGATGATGGTTATATTCATGGAGCTTTCTGCTCATAGAATGGCAGAGGGGAACTGACTGTATGGGAAACAAAAAATCTTCCTGAACCAGTCAGATGAAGTATAGCCACACAAGAAACAGTGAACCATTAGCTCGGGACACAGCAGTTACCACCTACAAGATCACTCCCACCTCCGGTGTTGGCTGGCGAGATCCCCCTTCCTAAATCACCCTTCTCAACCATCTCAGTGGCTCCAAAATCTAAGGCAGGAGTAGGGAAAGCATCTGTCACCCACACCCTTAGTGTGTTCCTCCCATTGCTTTTCAATTCCAACCATGTGTTGCATCAGATTAGATACCTACTATCTCTCTCGGGACCAGCTACATCATTTGTCAGGCCTGATGCAAAATGAAATCATGGGGCCCCTTGTTCAGAAGTTAAGAATTTGAAGATGGTGCCAGTACAGCATTAATCCAAGTACAGGTCCCTTTTAAGCACAGGACTGTGGGTAACTCTGCAGGTTGTACACCCATGGGGCTGACCCTGGTCCTTTCCACCAGTCTTCTGCTCCTCTGCTTTCTTGCTAAAGATGCCTGTTCACTCAGTGATTCAACAAATCCACCCAAGCAACTTGCATACATCATTCTTTCTCTTGTGCCATCTTGTTATGAACCACAGACAATTTTATTGACGTGAGGAAAAGGCATCAAAACAAATCTGACAATGTTCAGTGGCTCACAGTTTCCAGAGAGACGCATCCCTGGGGTGTTGAGATCCTACTAGATATACTGAGTCTAAACCAGGGGTTCTTAGTGAGGAGTGAGCTCAGGCTTACCTGAGATGCCCAGGGATTCTAAATCTGTAAACCTAATTTATGCTCTTGAAAAGTCTTCTCAGTAAAACAATGGTGAAGAAGCATTTGAGAACGATTCCATTTATTTGTTATTCTATATGTCTTATGACTTCTTTTATCATTGTTTGATTTTTTGAGACATACATGCATATCGGTGTGTGTGTATGCTCCCCTCCCCACCAGCCTGATGTTAGAATCTGTTTAAATGGACTTTTTTTGTTGTTGTTCAGAGTGTTTTTAACTTCAGTGTGGCTTGCAAGTTCTGTGTGGTGATGATTATCCACTTTGACTCCGGGTGAATTTATTTGTGGCTGGATCTAGTGGAGGCCACAAACTAATTATTGCAACCAACCAAGAAAAATAAAGAGAATGAGGAAATGCCACAAGTATTGACAATATTTATTGTAGCATATGGCTAATGTGTAAAGAGGTAATAGAACGATGTATCTCAGGGGATCATTCAAAAGGAAAATTACTTAAATTAACTTTTCAGGCAGACCGAATTATGCATTATACCCCTCCTGTAATGCTATACAAAGTCAATGTTTGTGAAGAGTAGAACTGGCGGCTATAAATCAAGCCTTTCAGAAGAACTGTTGTGTCTGCAGGGATTTTTTTCCTTTGCTTTTTTGGCATTTAGATGAATGAAGAATTTTCTCAGCAAATTATTAATTACTCCTTCTTGCCTATAGAATTGAGTTCACTGTAGTTATGTAGGAGTCAATGGTATTCAAACTGCAGCTTTTGATGAAGTAATCGGCTGCTTCTGGGGCCTCTTTCAGCTGCCCTGGGCGTGCTTCACATGTAAACGACTGCCAAATGGATTCTTTCGACATTCCAGCCAATTAAAATACATTTAAAGTGCAGCTGGTGGAGAGGCAAACCATGCGATTGTGCGGAGAACTTCAGGGCAGTGAGACAAAAAACAAACTTTGCGGAACCCAGCTCCAGCAGCCCAACAAGGCTTTCGGGTTCGGGGGCAGCGGAGAAAGTCATAAAAAGAGGCTATCTTTAGCTCCCGTCAGAATCAAAGATGACACTTTGAGCACCACCTTGCAGGACACAAAAGAGGGAAGCATGTTTGTTAGGGTGTCAGTTTTCTCTCCTTGCCTCTTGGAACTCTGTGTGTTGGCTGGTTGCCCAATGTGGTGCCGCATACAAATGTTGACAGAACACAGCGGTGTTTGTTAAACCCGGCCTGGGGAAACCAGTGATTAAAACTCTTGAAGGAAGATCCGAAAACCCCAGGAACTCTCCTCAATAGCCTTAGAACATTGATCGAATGAAAGAGAAAGCAGTGAGTGGGCTAAAGTGAAACATTCAGCGTCCCTGTCTGCTATGCCTTCTCGGTAAGGAGAGAATTTTCTTTTCTTTTCTTTTTTTTTCCTTGAATGTTGATGTTGGTATAGAGGAAAGCACCCAATGTGTTAAGTGCTCTGGTCTGGAGCTCTGATTTGCAGAGTGCAGAGTTTGCCTGTGATTTTTCTGGAGGACATGAAGGGATCACACTCACTGTGTAAATAGACACAGGGCATTACACGGCACGTGGTGTCTGTGAGTGCTTTTCCAGAATTCAGGATGGTACATTTTTAAATGTTTGCCTTTGCTGACCCAGCCTAGTACTTGCTGCTGTGTATCCAGGTGCCTGGAGATTAATTCCTCCTTGGAACCAACAGTTACGATGTACGTGCCTGATTAATTTTTATTTTCATTTTCGTGTTGTCTGGTTCATTCTGCAGCCAGCCCCACACTATGCATGTCAATTGTGTTTTGTTTTGTTGTTTTTTCTTTTTTCCCTCTTCCTGGGTTAATATTCAGCCAGACCCAAGCATTCTGGTTTACTAAAGCAAAGCCAACATGTTTGGGAATGCCTTGCTTTATTCTGATAGTCACTGGAGAAGCTGCTAACTTGAGAATTCGCTCTGAATCATTCTTTTCTAATATTTTAAGGAGGCAGGTGCAGTTGCATTATTTCTGTGGTGCTGCAAGTTCAGTAAATACCAAGCTCTTGGATCATACTCGGACACCTATCTTAAATTCCTAAGAATGCTAAGTTCGAGTACGGCTGAGCCAGGGCATTGATTCCTACCCATCAATTGATCAGTGAAACACATACAAAGTTCCTGATTGTTTCCTATCTCAGCTTGTCACAGTAGGCCCTTTCTGGCTCCAATTTTGTTCATTGCAAACAAAGAATCTTGCACATTTCACGGTGAAGGATCACATTGCAGCGTCCTGAGCTCAGTTAAATGTGCTTTATTAATCTTTAATGTGCCAGTAGCTCTGAGGCTATGCCAAGCTGAGACTTTCCAAAATTCTCCAAGCTACCTGCTGCCAAGATAAACGGTGGTAGGCCCAGAAGGGGATATTTTAAGGAAACTTGCAACAGCAAAGTTTTACCCATTAAGTTTGTCCTCAGTCAATGAAAGAAACCTTAAATAAAAGAGATTTCAGAAAGAGGTGCCTCAGCTCTGTACCCTCTGTGTGAAAGACCTACTGGGAAGAGTCCACCTCCTCACCCACACAGTAGTATATGCTCCAGAGTGGGAGGGAATAGGCTTTCTGCTGTGTGCTTGGTGGGCTGTGCTTATGAAATGGGTGCCATGCAACAGAAACGTGTGAACGCAGAAGGCTTTCCTGCCTGTGGCTGTGCTTGAGCCCAGAGAAAAACAAGGCTATACATGTGGTATGCCGCCTGACCAATGCAACTATTTCAGACATAACAGCATCAGAGATGCACCATGGCCACAGAGTTTCACTTGGACAAAAGCACAGCTTTGCAGAAAAAGAAAAGTGGGATGGCACACCTCCAAAAACGGGGCAGTGGAGGTGACTTAATGACTCAGAGGACTGTGTGAACCTGTGATTGATTGGCCAGGTCCTGGAGAACATAAGGCTGTGACCTCATGTGGGGCTCTGAGTGGCTCATCAGGTTAATGTAGAGTATATGGTATCATCATCATTTTGGGGGATGCAGGTAAGAGACAAGATGGACTGTGCCTTTGGACACAAGTCCTGTAAGTGGGAACTTCACTTGCCAAGATTGCTATGAGAGGAACATGGAATTAGAGCTGAGAGGAGTTGCAAGGTCCTTTCTGATTTTGAGTCAGTCACACAAAGACTTTATGAATATGTGCAGGCAGTAATGAGGGGTGATCAAGAGTAAAGATGGCCTCAGTTAATCAGGTGGTTTTGTTGACTTTAAAGTCAAGTCCAATCTCCTTCCTGTGGCCTGGAACAGAGGTTGACAAACTATAGATCACAGGCCCAAATCTGCCACCATGTGTTTTTTTGTAAATAAAGTTTTATGGAAACAGAGCCACACCCATTTGTTTATATATTATCTATGGCTACTTTTGTGTTACCACAGGAGGGCTGAGTAGTTGCAACAGAGACTCTATGGCCCTGAAAAGTCTAAAACATTTACTACTGGGTTCTTTAAAGGAAACGTTTGAGAGGCTAGACATACAGAACAATGCTTCTCAAACTGTCTGTGGTGAAGAACCTGTTTTGTGTTTTAAATTTCTAATCCGTTATGCACTGATAATTTCTTTAAATATAATAGAAATGTTGCATGAATGTTGTGGTGATGTCACATTGCTACAAAATGTCTGAATATTTATTCTTAATTGTTATACTTATCACAGATCAGCAACTATTTGTTGCAGACTGGCACCAGTTCCTGGACCACACTTTGAGAAGTTCTGGTCCTTGCATAGTTTTCTAGCCTTATCATGTGCCATTTGTGCCAAATTTCCAGAGATGCTCTCCATTCTTATGAGTGAAATCAACAAATCCTTCCCCATCTTTGGGCCTTTGCTGCTGACGTTTGTTTTACCTGGAAGTCTTTTTCCCTGACTCTTCTCTTAGCTCCTCCTTTCCTTTAGGTCTCTGTTTAAATTCGTTTTGTCAAAGGAGCCTTTTGAAAGAAGTCCATCTGAAAAATCTTTCCTCATCTTTCATCACTCTTTCTTCATAGCATTTATTGCATTCGATACTTATCTTGTTTATTTATTTGTTCATCTCCTTTTTATTTGTTTATCTGTTTTGGTCAGGATTCAGTAACAGCATAGTCTATTTCAGCTAGTTTAAGCAGAAAGGAATTTTGTACTGGTTTGAGCAGGCATATAAAATCTGGGAGAAGGAGTGGGGGAGCAAGCAGAACTTCTGAGAGTAATGCACAGGGCATGGCAGCATGTTTACAACTATGTCTCTGTCACTATCACAAAGCTGATATCAGGCAGGTGTTGGTCTCAGTCCATTTTTTGTTGTTGTTGTTGTTGTTATGTGTAACAGAATACCTGAAACTGGGTAATTTATAAATAAAATAAATGTATTTATAAATTTATTACAGTTACGAGGTCTGGGAAGTCCAAGGTCGAAGGGCTGCCTCTGATGAGAGCCTTTTTGCTCGTGAGACTCTGCAGAATCCCAAGGTGGTGCAGAGCATCACACAGTGAGGGGCCTGAGCACACGAGCTCAAGTCTCTCCTCCTCTTCTTATAAAACCACCAGTCCTACTTCCATGATAACCCATTAATCCATTAACCAATTAACCCAGTAATCCATGAATTGATTGATCCATTTATGAGGGCAGAACCTTCATCACTCAATCACCTCTTAAAGGCTCCACCTTTTAATACAGTCACTTTGAGGATTTTATTTCACTATGAGTTTTGGAGGGGACAGATATTCAAACTGTCGCACTAATGCTACCACCACTACCTCCAGGATCACGTTGCCTCTGCTCTCATTTCCTCCACCGAAACAAGCATCTTTGTTTCTTGAAACAAGTGAAGCTAGAGATAGAATATTAGGGCCTTTGCTACAGATGTTACAGATTACCTGACACCTCTGGCAGGAACAGCAGAAACTAAGCACTTAACTCCTGATCTTCACTCTGACTTTCAAATCCCACTATAGGGGGCCTCCTGGATAAAGTATGAATTGCAATATAACTCAAGTTATGAGGGAGTTAGGGAAATACTTGGCTTAAAATCTTAGAGTTTTGAGTCTCTAATGATGAAATGGAGTCTCTATAATCTGCCTGCATCATCTCCTGGAAGGTAATCTCCGTGAGGGTAGGGACTTTGTTCATCACCCTATGCCAGTGCTGAGATTAGTGCCTGCCACATGAAATATGCACAATAAATGTTGATATTATATTTATGCATGCATGAATGGAAGACATGTTTTCTCAAAGTCTGTGGTTTATAATAAGGTAGCATGTAGTACACACAAGGGAGATTCATGTATATGAGTTTGCCTGACAAAGATCTCTGAGGTGGGAAATGGAGACTACTTATAGGCAATAATCTCACCTTTGAAACATACCTTGTTTTTCAAAACTGAAATATATTCATATAACTGTAGTTAGTCAGTGTGCTCAGGGATGGGAGTATTCAGGTTACCAGCTAACACTGTCATTTACTGAGGGCTTATTATAAGCCCTGCTCTACACTATATGCTACGCATGCATTATCCCATTTATTCTGCACAAAATCCTGATGCAGCAGGCAATACTTCTACTTGCAGAGAGGAAATAGAGGCTTTACATGGTAAAGTGACTTTCCCAAGTCACAGAACTGATGAGGTGTGGAGCCAGATTTGATACCATGACTTTTTGAAATCCATGTTTTAGCTCTTAACCTCCAGTTATAATCCCACATACAATTTATCTTTCTGGTTGTTGTGCATTCACTAAGGAATCTTCCGTTTTGTTTTCATTCTAGTGGCTGGTTAACCTTTTGCATTAATCTACTTTGTGTACCATCTGTTCATCTGGACTGAGATATCCATATCGATCTCTGGATCATTGCTGAATGTTGCTGAATATCAGCAGTAAATCTGTGGGTCTATAGATGAGTATTTAGAAGAAGTAGGAGAAAACTCATTCTGCAGGGATTAAGAGCATCAAGAAGATAGTAGTAATTTTTCCTGTTAGAACAAAAATCCTAGATAATAGAATATTTCTTTTGTAATTGGACAACCCTCCACCCATGCCATATGTTTGGTTAAAATGTTCAAGTCTTTGGGTTCTGTTAGGTTGAAATTCTATGTAACATTATAGCCATTAAACAGTGATAATCGGTAATAGTAGTGACTTTTTGATAATAAAAAAATAAGTTGAGAATTAATTTTGTATTTTAAGTTTTAGAGGACTCAGAAAGATACCTTTGAAGAAAGAGGACCTGTCTAGTGGTGGAGCACCCAAGAAATATTACTTGGCAACAATATATATGATAAAATAAACCACTTAAATCCCATTTCTAGTGTCTAAGAATGATGGGGGAAAAGTACTTCTGAAATGGTGGAGTAAAGACCTCTGAAAATCTCCTTCTCCAAAAAAG